CAACATTAGGAGTATGGGTGAAACTTGAAAGTTTGTACATGACCAAATCTCTGGTGAATCGACTCTACCTGAAGCAAGCTATGTATTCTTTCAATATGAGTGAAGACAAAGTGTTGGCTGAGCAGTTGGATATGTTCAACAAGCAAATTCTTGATCTTAAAAATATTGATGTGAAGATCGATGATGAAGATCAAGCATTATTGTTGTTGTGTGCTTTGCCCAGAACACATGCTCACTTCAAAGAAACTCTCTTGTATGGAAGGGAGTCCCTGACCTTTGAAGAAGTTCAATCAGCCTTATATTCTAAGGACTTGAACGAACGAAAGGAGCATAAACCTTCGACGATGGACGAAGGTTTGGCCGTTAAGGGAAAATTCTTGTGAAAGGATGGTAAGTTCGACAAGAAGAAAGGTAAAAGTCAGCAGAAGTCTTATAATGGCAAAGCATCTGGTATTCGATTCTATCACTGTAAGAAGGAGGGTCACACAAGAAAGGTGTGCCCTGAACGCCTAAAAGATCATGGAGGTAAGGATAATGGCAACGTAACCATTATTCAAGATGACTTCGACTCATCTGATGTCCTTGTAGTTTCAAGCGGCGACTCAAGAAAGGAATGGATTATGGATTAAGGTTGCACTTCGCACATGACTCCAAACAGAGAGATTTTTGAGGAGCTATGTGATCAAGATGGTGGATCGGTGCTGATGGGAAACAAAAAATCTTGCAAAACTACAAGTATTGGACTTGTGAGATTCAGGCTCCATGATGAGTCAATAAGGTTATTTACTGAAGTCAGGTATGTACCTGATTTGAAGAGAAATTTGATTTCTCTTGGTGAATTCGACAAGAAGGGATATGTTTTTCAAGGAGAGAAAAGTATCCTAAGAGTCATGAAGGGGTCGAAGGAAGTCTTGAGAGGCGTGAAGAAACAAGATTTGTATACCCTTGAGGCTGAGGTTGTAAGTGGTTCGACAAATGTTGCATCCATGAAACCTGTGTCGAAGATAAAATTATGGCACATGAGATTGGGCCATGTCAGCGAAAGTGGCCTGGTCGAATTGGGGAAGAAGAACCTGCTAGGTGGTGACAAAGTCGAAAAGTTGGAGTTTTGTGAATCTTGTGTATTTGGTAAATTCTGTAGGGCGAAGTTTAACAAAGGAAAGTAAAGAACACATGGATCCCTGGATTACATTCAAGTTGATCTTTGGGGACCTGCAAGAAATCCTTCACACCCAGGTGCAAGGTATTTTCTATCCATCGTTGATGACTATTCCATAAAGCTATGGGTATTCATTCAAAAGACGAAGGATGAAACTTTTGAGAATTTCAAAAGTTGGAAGGTTCTGGTCGAAACTCAAACTGGCAGAAAGGTTAAGAGGTTGAGAACCGACAATGGCCTTGAGTTCTGCAACAAAGCGTTCGGCAGTTATTGTATTGAGTTTGAGATTGCAAGGCATAAGACTGTAGAAGATACTTATCAACAAAATGGATTAGCTGAGAGATTCAATCGAAAAATCCTTGAAAGGGTTAGATGCATGTTGGTTAGTGCTAGATTGAAGAAGGTGTTTTGGGCGGATGCTATTTCGACAACAGCTTATCTGATGAATAGATGTCCCTCGAATGCCTTGGGAATGAAGACACCTGAAAAAGTTTGGTCGAAACATCCACCTAGTCTCGATAGACTAAGAGTATTTGGTTGTGTGGCCTATGCTCATATTAGGCAATAAAAGGTCGAACCTAGAGCTCTGAAATGCATGTTCATGGGATACCTTGAAGGATTCAAAGTTAATAGGCTATGGTTCCTAGAGCCAGATCACAGGAGGTGTATCACCAGTCGAGATATAATTTTCAATGAAGCAGAGATGACTTTCAAGAAAACTGATGATGCTGACGAAAATCCGGAATAGAAAGAGATTCCTGTTGAGGTGGAGCATGATGATGTTGAATTGCGTATCCCAGATGAAGTCGAAGAAGACACAGAAGATGTCGTCGAAGATGAAGAGACTGATAATGACTACCTGCTAGCAAGAGACAGGTTGAGGAGAGTCATCAAGCCACCTCAGAGACTGGGGTATGCAGATCTTATAGATTATCCCTTAATCTTTGCATGTGAGGTTCTAGACGAAGAACCTACAGACTACAAGGAAGTTATGAAGAGTCAAAAGAAGACTGAATGGCTGAAGGCCATAGATGATGAGATGAAATCTCTTCCCTGAGAACTAATCAAGAAACCTGCTGAAGCCAGGTTAGTCAGTTGTAAAGGGATTTTCAAAGTTAAGGAAGGAATTGAAGGAGTGGCGTCCAAGAGATACATGGCAAGATTGGTCGCTAGGGGCTTCACTCAGAAAGAAGGTGGCAACTTCAATGATGTATTCTCTCTTGTTGTGAAGCACAGATCCATTCAAATGTTGCTTGCCACGGTGGCCCAGTTTGACCTTAAACTGGAACAGATGGATGTGAAGACTGCGTTCTTTTATGGTGATCTAGATGAAATAATCCTTATGAGGCAACCTGAAGGGTATGTCAAAAAAGGGAAGGAAGATTATGTGTGCAAGCGGAATAGATATTTATATAGACTGAAACAATCTCCTCGATAGTGGAATAGGAGATTCGACAAGTTCATGGCACGCATAAGTTTCATTAGAAGTCAGTTTGACCACTGTGTTTACTTCAGATTTCGACCTGGTAATTCATTTGTTATTCTATTACTTTATGTGGATAATATTCTAATAGCAAGAAACAATGTCGAAGATGTAATAAGGCTGATGGCTGAACTCAATAAGAAGTTCGACATGAAGGATCTGGGAGCTACGTTCATTGTTCTTGGGAATTACATCCGAAGATATAGAAAGTAGTCGAAATTATGCTTATCCCAAGAGGCATACATACAGAAGATTCTCAAATAGTATGGCATATCGAATTCAAAGCCTGTTGCCTTATCTACAACTAAAGCGGAATATATCGCCATAAATGAAGTTGTGAAGGAAGCATTGTGGCTTGAAGGTTTTGCGAATGAGCTGAAACTTCAAGATTGAGTTATCACTATTAAATGTGATAGTCAAAGTACAATACACCTGTCGAAGAATTCAGCCTATCATGAGTGAACCAAGCACATTGATGTGAGGTTGCATTTCGTCAGAGGGGTAATCGAGCATGGAGAAGTCCAAGTGCTGAAGGTTTCGACAGATCATAATGTTGCTGATATGATCAACAAGACGTTGCCCAGTTACAAGATTTTCCACTATATGCAGTTGATAAAGTTATATGAAGAAAGATAATTTCTTGATGTTATAAAGTTAGATCCAAGGTGGAGATTTGTGAGATATTGGATCGAACTCTAGTATGGCCGAAGTCTGTTCGTGAGTAATGCGTGTTGTAGTCGAAGTTTATTCTAACATGCATTAGTCAATATCGTTAGGTTTGGTAGCATGTTAAATTGGACCTTGCTTGTAAGCTCAATTATTTAAGTTAGCTTGTACCCTAAGTTAGCTTGTAATGAGTAATTGTTAAAAAGCCTATTAGATTAGTGTGCTAGTTTTCTTATAAATAGGATGCTAGTCTCTCATCTTGGATAAGGAAAAATAGGAAGATAAAATCTTAATTCAAGATACATAGGTTATTTGTTATTCTTGTATACTTGTAATCTTGTTTGATAGATAAAGGAAATAATAGCATTTTATAATCAATCCTTGTTGTTTCTTCTTGTTCTTCTTGCTTGTTTTCTTTGTTAACCCTAACTCTTATGTGTTTCTTGAATATAAAAAAATCGTTTATATTTTGTTTCAAGGCATTTTATTCACAACAAGTTTTGTTATGATCTCGAACGTCGTAGTTTGCACCATAGAGAGCCCTCAATGATGTCATATTTAACGGTTTTACAAAAATTTAGAAATAGGTGAATGAGAAAAGTACTTTTTCTTGAAAATAGTTTCTAGGTAGATTAAAGGTGAACTTATGCACATACTCTAATTGACTATCAAAACATATCATCTACCTTAACCAATAGCGGATCGAATGTTTGCTTTAATTCTAAGATAGGTAATAATATATGGTTTTGTTTTTTCTCTTACTGGAGCTTGATCTATCGATGGTGGTTCTAACAGCATAAACTTTAACCTAAATTCTAAAGGGTTGATCTCTAACTACTTGAGTGTTATTGTTTGTCTTTTCTATTTTGTTTTGATTTGTTGTTCTTATTAGTTGTGGTGTTTATTTATTGTTGAATTTTATTTATATATTTAATAGTCCTCTAGACACTTCTAATATTTAGAAATTATTTATATGTTGGTAGTTTTCATTTTTCTTATTAACATAATACTTTGTCATTAAAAAAAATTATGACTTGTTTTGTATTTCACATATTACCAAAAAGACAAAAACCAAAACTGATGACTAATTTAGGGTATATTTTTTGGTTTTATGTATTTTTGACATAATTTCATTTAAACCATTAAAGCTAAATAAAAGAAAATAAAAACAACAAAGTTTACAATAAAAATTATTACATTTACACATCAACGTGATAAAAGTTTGAGAAAAAAAATTGAACGTAACTACACGTATCAATTTTCAATACTAATACGATTTACAGACACATATCAGATATCTAACACTAACACGCTACGAGTAAAATATGGTTTTCATTTTTATTAAATATTATGTTGAGAAAAGAAATTGTAATTTTCAATGACAATTTGGCTTATGGTTGTGAAGAAGACAAGTCCTACCAATTTCCAACCAAGGTAGGTAGATTTGACCAAGAACATGGTAGATTTGTCTCAAACACAATATACCACAGTCTTCTCCACTCTATCATCAAAAATTAAAAGAGAAGATAGAAAGAAATAGAGATATAAATAGATAGAAATCAAAAGGATCTAGTTAATTACCATAACCTTCTCAAGCACAATAGTTCATTCAATGAGCCCACAATTTATAAATTAATAAAAGATGAACAAACATTGCAATAATAGAGAGAGAAATAGGTTATGTTATGACTCTTAATTCAACACTGCCTCTTGTTGAATCCTATTCACCATTTGGTATACAGCTGCAGCTATATCATCCACTGATCCTAACTTGCAATCATCTTCAACCTAATCAATGCATTTTCAAGCACTTTCAAAATTGTTCAAGAAATCTAAATCCAAAAGAAACAAAAAAGTCAAAGAAATAAGAAAAAACACAAACCTTAACACTGAGAGAGAAGAGAACAAATTCACCAATAGTGGTAACATTTAGATGCAAGATTGTGAGTCGCATGTTATGAAAACCAGACACCATTTTCAAGAGCTGTTTTGGTCTCTTTTTGGATCTTATTTTAAGATTTGCATGGCTTTCAACCATTGTTACTTCTATGTCAGCAATGCAAGACTGAATCTCACCAACTTTTTCACCAAAAACTGCTGCAGAATTTGAAGTACCACCGGTACTTGTTGAATACTGTGGAAATGAAAAGAACTCAGAAAATGGCTTTTTGTTTGATCCATCAGCATCATCATCATCATCATCATCATCTTTCACCTCTTTTTCTTTCTTAGCACCAAGAAATTGAAACTTGTGTTCAAGCTCTCTTACAAAGTTAATAGCACCTCCAATTATAGAAGCTTGATCACCCTGCATTCATCAGCATCAGCATCATCAACAACAACAAAAAACACAAACACTTAGTTTTCTTACTGTCAAGATCTAAGCATACATCTATCGTGATTCTGTGAAACTCGCTGTCGATCTAAATATACATCGATTGATGTTATGTAAGTTGGTAAGTCATAAGTAGAAGAACTAGTACTCTAGTAGTAGTAACAAGTAACTAAGTACCCTTTGGATGTAAGAATCTGGCATGAGAGAGCGAAGAACAGAAAGATACTCATTCATCTGCTTTCTTCTATTACGCTCCACAGCAATGTGAGTCATTCTTTGATTCTCAATTTCCTCTTTGTTTTTTCTGCTTCTAGCTCTACGCCTTTTCGGACGAACAACCGTGTCAATGGAAGGTGAAGTATCCAAGTTCTGAGTGTTGTTACTACTTGGATCAGTAGTAGTTTCTTGAAGTTCATTCAAAGTAGAGCTGTTGTTATTCCAATCTCCATAATAAGGATAATTGTTTTCTGTCTGGTTTTCTACAAAACTGAAAGATCTTTGTTCTTGTTCTTGTTGTTGTTGTTCTTTTGCAACAAAGTTGTTGAAGTTGAAGTTGTAGAAGTCTTTGATTCCATAACCAAAAGGGTCTTGTGTTTGTGGATAAACCACTGCTTCTAGTGCCATATCTTTTGCTCTATCTATTTCCTTTTCAGGTAAACACATAACAATCAATCGATTTTATTTGTATCCTTTCAAGGGGAAGTGTGGAAGATGATGATGATGATGAATAAAATATATGTGCTTTTGGGCTTATAAAGGCCTTGTTCATGAATACAACAATCGACAGTGATTTTTGCACGTGAAATTCCACTAAATGTATACAAATCATTAACTTTATACTAGTTAAATGATAATAAAGATATAATTTGACAAGATGAATTGAATGGTGGTTGTTAGATAAAACAAAAGCAATAGTAATAAGTATGAGTTCACTATTTAAGAATCAGTAACAATATCTAACTTATTCATGCAATTATAACTTACTATATACAATTTTTTTAATATGCATTAAAATCTCAAGTTAAAAAAGAGAAATAAATATATATATATATATATATATATATATATATATATATATATATATATATATATATATATATATATATATATATATATATATATATATATATATATATATATATATATATATATATATATATATATATATATTTGCTATCAAATTTCTGGCGAGCAAAGGAGGCATGACACGGTGGAACCCACGATATATTGATGATAGATACCAGTCGATCCATGGAGTTAGGTTTTCCGCAGCGGCGACTCGAAGGTCAGGTTGTGGCGGTAGTCTACGTGGGACTCCGTCGGATTAGGTCGGTTGGTGAATCTGTTCGATAAGGATTTATATCTTTGGTGCGTCAAGATTAAGATTTTGACTATTATAAATATAATTTTTTTTCTTTTTATTTTTTTTTTAACATGTGATGCATAAGGTAACAATTTTAATGAGAAACATCTCGTATAAATTTATATAATATGTTCTTAGGGTTGACAATTCTTTGGGGTTATCAAAGAGATTTGAGAAACATGTAACACATCATGTGTTTGTGTCATTTGTGTCCTAAGACAGAGTAATGATCATTTGTGTTAGTGCCAACAAGATTGATCTCCTAAACCTCAAGTATAATATATCATCTTTCTCTATACTGAGCAATGATCATACATGCCAAAGTCAACAAGATTGACCATATAGACCTCAAGAAAATATTATCACTCGAACCTAGACAGACGAGATCAGCTACAGTCAACTCAAAGTGACCACATATGCTAAGAGGATTAATAATAATCATCATTCAAGTCACAGAGAATACTTTATCAATGCTCACATCATGGAAGTTTTGTCAATACAAGAAATGAAATGATAAGATTTTGTACACATGGTGCAAATTCCAACGACTCCATTCTCAATAGACAAATTATTGACAAGTTAAAGCAAGAAAATCCAATCGTTAAAGACCATGAAACCAATGAATCTTTGAAGAAATTTTGAACAACATTTACGAATTATTTGATATTTTTCTTCCATTATCATATTAGCTACGAACAACACATATACACAAGTTACTTTATCATTATTTTTTCATAGAGAAGTTATTAACTTGTAATCGACCTCTATTGAGTTTCCATCTCTATGTGAGTTGTTGGGAGCACAAATTTATTTGTAATTCAAGAAAGTATTTTAGTGTGAGGTAAGAAATTTCCCTAGTGTGAAGTAAGGAAGTCCTTATAGGTTTATGGTAAGGAAATCTAAAACATATGGGTCTTAGTGGTTGATTGTAATCATAAATGATTATAATGGGAAACTCTTAATGTAAAGGGACTGGACGTAACTCCCATTTAACGGGATGAACCAAGATAAACTATGTATGTGAGTCTTTTCTCAACTCTCTTTATTTTCAAAGTTATCTTATTAAGTTGTGTGTCATCTAAAAGCTTTTGAAAATTTTATTCAATTCAAACCATCAATTCTTGTGTTTTTATCACCTTTTATTGGCATCAGAGCTATGATCTCTTGTTTTAACACTTACCTGTGTATGAGTAAAGATCCTTTGAGAAAAAAGTATGAATTGACTAAAAACAACACTTCTACCTCAAACACTAAATATTATGATACTTAGTCTTTATGGACTAAACCATATGCATTTAATGAAAATTTTGAATAGTTTTCTTGTGGAATAATAAGCTGTATATTTTCTTAATGCACCAAAGTGAAGTTAGTGGGAATATTCTAGAAGATGAGTGTTATATACCTATTTGTTCTTTTTAAAAAACACTAAAAGGTTGACTCTCTTGTTATAAGTCAAGGAGAGCCTAAAATGACTAGTTTAGGTGTCTGTTATGTATGTATTAGTTGGTTTATATCTCCAAGCAATCTCCTACTTATATGGCTCGATTCTCTCATCATCCATCCATATTTGTTCTTTTATTATCTTTCATAAATACAACCTTAGGTAACGTTCGTCGCCCTTATAATTTCCAGGTAACATCTCTCCCAATAATAATTGTAACTTTAATGACATAACATATCATTTTGTAACTGCCTCTTGCGACTCTTTAGATGGTATCCTAGCACTGACATCGGACCCAAATTGTACGAATAAGGTTGGTATTAGTTTGTATGAGTAAGGCCAATCCTAGTTTGTTTGTTTTAGTATTCCTAATCGGACTCCAACTTGCATGAATTATTATGATCATTCGAACTTCCACTAGCTCGGCCTCAACGAATTCTAGGATGTACATACGCCTCCCCAATCATAAGGTCCTTCGGATCGAAGTGACCAGACAAAAAAATATTGGAATTCCATTCCTTCGAAACCGGCCTCTTGCGCGATGAGTGTCAGCCATTTAATGATGACAAGTTTTTTATCTTTCATCATCATGATGATTTTTATGGGAACTCCCACTTTCATCATTAGCCTTTTTTATAGAAGTTCTTTACAGTTACAATCTTATTACTTTAAAAGACTTAGTTTTTTATTTGAAAATATCTTCCTTCCAAGCGATCTTCTTTCTAAGTGTTTACAAGTTGATCCTACCTTCCTCTATCGTTCGCTCCATCAAGTTTCCAGGTATTACTCCCCTTTTCCATTTCTTTTATTATGTATATATTTCAAAACAATAATTACTCAAAAGAATGTTCAACTTTTCTTACTGCTAGTGATAGAAATAGGATTTGGAATGCCTGTAAACGAGAGTGTGAGGGTTACTTGAGTAAAGTGGATTTTGACCGGATTATTAGAGATGTTTATGGTGAAATCCCTTCACCTATTAGTAATACTGATTTGGGGTCTGCCTCCTTAGGTTTTTCAAATATTCAGATGGAAGCGGCACAATCTTTGATAGACAAAAAGGTTATGAGTTATGACTATAGTATTATTGATGAAAGCTACATCTTGAAGCTTTTTTCCACTACCTTAATCTCTTCAACCGAGAATGAAAAAGATGTTATACTAGAACCCTGCGTAGTTGGTGAGAGGGTTTGTATCACTCGTCCCAAAGGAGTATCAGAGGAGTACTTTTATTTCTATTCATGAGTCATTGAGGACTTTAAAATCTACATTCCATTTACCGATTTCGATTCCGACCATCACAAAATCCTAAATATAGCCCATTCTCAGTTCCCTGATGGTTGGAGCTTTATTAAGGCTTTTGAGATTGTTTGTAATACGATAGATATATCACCTACCTTAATTAGGATTATTTTTCTCGTTTTTTGAGTTAAAAGGGGCAGAAAAAGGAGGTTGGATTTCCCTCAACAGAATTCCTGGAAAGAGCTTTCTGCAAGCCTACACTACCAAATATAAACATTTTAAGGACAAATTCCTCCGAGTTAAGAGTGAGAAAAGATGTCCCCAAGTTATGTATGCACTAGATGGGAACTATCATTTTCCGATCTACTTATTGTATAGTCCCTTACTAATCTTCGGTTTAACTATGACAAATTGAACGACTTGGAAATTCGTTCTTTGGCTGTATTAGATGCCTTCCAAGTAGTGAAAGTAAAAGACCTTTTACAGATGGCTGATGACCCTGAACAAATTTCTAATCTTTTGGTTAATGCTTATATGTGTTTTTTATTGTCATGTTATGATATTATTAGTCATCTTGTGTATTGATTTTGGTCATTTTCTTTCAGCCAATATGACCAATCTCAAACTCTCTGAACAAAAGAATTTGATGGTTCAAGCCATGGCGTGGCATGGAGATCAATCCACTTCCAAGAGTGATCTTACCGGTATTCAGATCCGAGCTCTCAAAAGGAAGAAGTCAGAAGTTTCCAAAATGACTCCTATCATATCAGAGCTCCGTCCGACCTTTGTTCCTATCCCTAGAGAGTCAAAGTTGAGTTATCCAAAGAAAATGAGGACTCTGATGAGTCACAAAGTTACTCAAGCCAACCTGAAAATTACTACTGTGATGCAAGATTCAGGTAGTAGTCATCAATCTAGTCCCTCTTTTGAGTTTAAGTTCTGGTCCAATAGCTTTGACAGATTAAGATATCCATATGATCATCTAAATGCAACCGAGGATGTTGAGAAGGTGAAGTCTATAGGTGCTAAAAAATTGACTCAAAACCTAGGGACATACTTGATGAGATGTCCAGTGATGACCCGAGGTTTGTTTGAAGTCGGTGACGCGCATGAGCAAAATGAGGCACGTCTTTCTAAGGATGTAAATCAGCTTCAAGTCGATTTAAAGGTTCATATCGACAAAGTAGAGGAGCTAAACAATCAGTTATCAGAGATGAAAAATTAGAAGGAAACCTAGAAGTCCCAGTTATCGGAGGTGACCAGATAAAAGGAAATCTCTTAGTCCAAATGCTCGAAGTCAGAAACATCCAACGCTGATTTGGTCCAGGAAGCGGAACAATTTTGGAATCTTAATGTAACTTTAATAAATCTCTACAAGATGCCCAGGTAGACCTACTTTCTGCTGATGATGAAGCCTTTGAAAGGGTTAAAGCTCAGACTTTATGCATCGCTCCAAACCTAGATGTATCAAGGATGGATTTTTTCAATATTGTGGTGGATGGGAAGCTAGTTGGTATGAAAGAAGCTTCTCCTGAAGCAGAAGGCTCTAAGGATGCGAGGACGGATAATACGACATTGAAAGTATGTGTAGATAAGCCTAAAGTTTGAATTTACTTA